TTCCGTCAGTGGAATGCAAACTCGCGAATTCATGGGTTTTCCTGCCCACTCGTGTAAAGTTGCTCAACTTTACATAGTGCAGAACCGCTCTGTAGTTTTGTTATTTTTCTTTGCTTTCTATTCCTTTGTCATTTTGTTGTGAGTCTGCACGCTTCAACTCAAACTCGCAAGGTTGATCATTTATCCCTTGCACCTTTAGGACATGTGCCCAGTCCTGAAGTTACTGCTAATTGGTTTTGTTTTATTGTTTTGCATTCACTTGCAGTAGATTCATGTGGGTGTTCTGATCGCTGTTTGAAAGCGTTAGAATCGGTGTATATTCACACTCAGCAGCTGAACCTTGCAGGCAGAAGCAGAACATTACACCGCTGTACTTGGTTATACACTTATAGTCACACCTTGCTTTTTATTTTATTTTTTATTTAAGTCACACCTTGCTCCTCTTCTTCCTCTTCGTAACGTGTGAATCTATAGTACACTGCTTGTTTTCCCTTGGTGACGTGCTACGCTTCACACCATTTCGCCGCCTCCCGCCTTGCTGCTGTGGTAGCTATATCTTCTGCTACCGTGAACTGCTTCATTCTCTTTGCAGTATGTTCATTTCATAACTTTCATAGTTTTTTTCCAAGTCTACAAGTGGAAGAATAAAAATCCTACGAAAGGAATCCGTTTGTCAGGACCTTTTGCAAGAACCCCCCCCCAATATAAAGTGCACATGGATGAGAGTTTCATGGGTATAGGATCAGATTAAATATTTCTGGAAAACCGGTCTAAGGTGACCAAGGCCCCCTGGAATTTGAGACGGCCTGTTAACGTCATTGTACCCCGTCTTTCCGTGTTTCCTATCCAGAACCACGGCCGTCTTCGCATGCAGCCAGAGAAGATCACATTCAAGGCCAGCCGAAGTGGCAAGATTGAACAGTTCAGCCCAGATGGGCTTGAGTCAGTCAACTGGACGCGTGCGCCAAAGGGCTGGGAGCTGTCACTGGTCGCCAAGTCCGGCTCCTGCACTCGGCTACAGGGCTTCAAAGAGACCGTACGTGACTCGCTGTCCCATGTGTGTGTGTGTGCGTGCGTGTGCGTGCGTGCGTGCGTGCGTGTGTGCGTGTGTGCGTGCGTATGTGTGTGCATTTGCGTGCACACACGGCCAGCAGTTAACTTCTCCGCTTTGTGGCATGACGGTTATGCCAACACACTCTCAAGTGTAAATTTTCGTACATTGATTGTGCCACGCAGGCAAATAGAAACACAGGAGTAGCGCATAAAGTCCGATCTTGCCAATAATATAGCAACTCCGGGGAATAAGTAACCCTAGCATTATAAGTAGGGGTGAAACGGTTCGGGTAAGGAACCGGTTTTGGAACCGCCAGCTGAAGAGAATCGGGTACCCGTTCCGTCAAATTTTGAACCGAAACTCAAAAAATCTCGTTCTTGTACAAATACATGTACACGTCAAGTCTACTCAAGATTTTAATGTCTTACCTCACGATCCCCACTCTTCCAAAGAGTTCTCTGGTCTATCTTCTTCGCACTTGGACTCTCCGATGTCTCATTCTTGCTCGTAAAAATGTTTTTTTCTAAAAATAATTGTCGCGAACGCATTTTGTCGGTCTGGACAAAAAAGTCCATGGAACCGATACCCGAACCGTGGGAAACAATGCTGGCATTCGGGTACCCGAACATGAAAAACATGGAACCGTTTCACCCCTAATTATAAGCACTGGCCTGTGCAATGAATGCAATTCTGGTTTATTCATGAGATTGGATTTCACTTGATTCCACCGTATGATGGACTATAGTAGACCGTGTCGGTGTCGGGGATTTGGGCTTTGCTCTTGTTTGCACACACTACGGGTTTCTGTTTCTTATTCTTGTTTTCTGGAGACTGACGTGATAGGCGTGCGTGCGTGTTTGTGTGTGTGTGTGCGTGTGTGTGTGTGTGTGTGCGTGTGTGTGTGTGTTTCTGTGTGTGTGTCCGTGTTTGCATCTGTGCCCGTGTGTCTTCTGTGCATGCGGTGTTCTTTGTTTTTGTTTTTTCATTCTGTATTTCTTTCCCAGGAAAGCCAGCGGTTACAAGGCAAGATTAGCAAATGGTACAAGCTGCCGTGGAGCGAAGTGGAGCGGTCTGTTCGCGGCCTTAGCTATGGGAAAACCGACTTTTGCGGTACGGCATCTTGCCAGCGTGGCTTGATCATGCTTTTTCTCCGTGTTGCTGTGTGTGTTTGCACTCTGCAGTCTCTTCACAGAATCTCGATATTTGATTGTTTCCTGCACTACAGGTGCATGGTGCTAAAATTGCTGATATTTGAACAATGCATATGATGACAGAACATAGAGCCATTGAGTGATGAGTAATCCCATCTTCTCTTACTCAGCATGGATGCGTTCCATTGCTTGTCCAGCTTGGCAGCTCGGTTGTTCCGTAGGGTTGTGTGTGTACTGCGTTGTGGGAGGCATGGGCAATGCCACAGGGTCACATACCAGACTATAGTGCGCCATCATAGTACTACTGTATGTTAGGTGATGATAGGTGTGTAGGTCAGTTTTTCCATAGTGACGTGCATGATGTCATTGCCTGTTTGCTTGGGGCCCTGCTTGCATGTACCTGCAGGCTCATCGTTGAAGTTTGTCATCGACGACAAGCCATCGTTTGAGTTGCCACTGGAGAGTGTGTGCCAGACATCCATCACCAAGAACGAGGTACACTTGGAGTTCCATCCGAACGACGAAGCGGACGTTCAGCTCTCTGAAATGAGATTCTACGTGCCACCGTCTCTCACGTCCGCTGTCGGTGATGGCATCGCCGACGACAAAGACGCAGCCAAGGTACAATACCATTGCACGCTAAGTTGGGGGTATATCATGTGACTACAAGACAGTTTACATGATCTGAGTGTTGCCAGGCAACAGCCAATGGGGAGAAAGGAGGGGGGGGGCTGGGTGCCAGGTCAGCAATGTGGTGTGCAAAACGCTAGGACTTCTGGGCTCACATTATCGAGGCATTCAGATAGCCTAATCGTGTTTTCCCGCCGTCAGCCCAAAGACGGCTACTACCTGCTTGTTCATATGTTAAACTAGCCGTCTTCCCCCTTGCGTTGCCAGTTGTATTGTTTTCGAAGTAGCCCTGGTAATAGCTATCATGCTGACACTATTTCCCAGTCTACAGTAGTGCAATTCCTGCTTCGTTTGCCATATCCGTTGCTTATTTTGTGGCTCAGGAATTCCACACCAAAATCACGTCACATGCCGACATTCTTCGTGTGTCTGGCGATGCGCTCATTACGTTTGACGAAATGTCATGCTTGGTGCCTCGGTAAGCCACTGCTGGCCGTTTTCAGTGCGGTGTGTGTGTGTGTGTGTGTGTGTGTGTGTGTGTGTGTGCGCGCGCGCGCGTGTGTATGCGTGTATGCACATTTGTTGTTTTTCTTCGGGTTTTGGCGGTATCTACATTCATGTATTATGTTTGTTTATAATTGTATTGGTTGACACTAGATGTACTAGTAGTTACCGGTTTCTCTGATAAAGCCCGGTCTATAGTAGTGACCCGGCAAGGGTTTTTGAGAAGTAATAAGAGAACAATCTCTAGTAGTATCGTGGGTCACATTTGCCGGACTATTCAGCAGTACATAAACTGAATGTTAAAGGGGAAGTATTCCCTAAAATCAAATTTTCACCAGTTGTAGTCTTCGGGGTGCTGAGTCAAATGGTCTTGGTCTGAGGAAGCTGAGACGCTCCCTTCCTACTTGAATCCCAATCAAACTCGCGCACTTGCACCGAAACTGGGTGACTGCGCCCTACTAGAAGGGGATTTGTATGCAAAATGTCACTTAACGCACTCTCCACATACAGGCATGCACCCGGCTCAGAACACATTGTTTTCTGGTTGGCATATCAGGGATATTGGGCGGAGCAGCTGGCGTGCATGAGAAAGACAGGTCGGCCTGCTCTGCGCAGGAGCTGTGACCCGGTGCACACATAGTGTGTGTGAGAGAGAGACAGACAGGTCGGCCTGCTCTGCGCAGGAGCTGTGACCTGGAGCACACAGAGTGTGAACGAGAGACGGTCGGCCTGCCGTGGGCAGGAGCTGCGACCGGTAGTGATTGAAATGAGCCAGCTGCGGAGATAGACTGCCCTCACCCGATATAAGTATATTGACAAGAGTTGTACTGACACTGTTATTGAGGAAATTATGGTGACAGTGACGGAGAGATAGTAATCCCCAGTCGAATGGGGTTGGGAGGGAAGGGGAAATTGACACTGACGGACAAACCAGTGAACAGTCAAGTCGTCAGAAAGCAAAAGTGACAAAGGAGTCTCTCTTTTCTCCTTCTCTCTCTCTAAAGCAAGATTTGGAATGCATGCGTGGGAGAGTGGCGCGCGCTGCGCATGCGCATGTATAGCAATGACATCATAATCAGATGCATGATCATCAGACTAAGTATGAGTGGTAGATGTTCCACGTTCGTTAACAGGGCTTAGCGGACACGCTAAACCACCATAAAAGCGCCATTTCGTTCTTATAAAAGCACGGATGACCGCGATTGGCCCATATGTTGTAGTCTTTTGGACGCTGAGTCGACTGGTTTTGGTTCGAAAAGGCTGCGATGCAGCGTTCCTCCTTTATTCCCAATCGAACATGGTTGAACAAGCGGTCACGTGCTCCTGCGTACACCAGTCACCTGGTCACCGTGCCTGCAGGGTACAACTTACTAGCCTGTTTGACCTTTTTTGGGTGTAGTCCTGTCACTCGAGTTGAACTCGAGTTGAACCTCGGTGTGAAAGTTGTCGCCTGCTGGCGCGGTGACCAGGTGATTTGGGCACCCAGGAGCACGTGACCGCTTGTTCAACCATGTTCGATTGGGAATAAAGGAGGAACGCTGAATCGCAGCCTTTTCGGACCAAAACCAGTCGACTCAGCGTCCAAAAGACTACAACATATGGGCCAATCGCGGTCACCCGTGCTTTTATAAGAACGAAATGGCGCTTTTAGTGACATTTTGCATACAAATCCCCATCTAGTAGGGCGCAGTCACCCAGTTTCGGTGGAAGTGCGCGAGTTCGATTGGGATTCAAGTAGGAAGGGAGCGTCGCAGCTTCCTCGGACCAAGACCATTCGACTCAGCACCCCGAAGACTACAACTGGTGAAAATTTGATTTTAGGGTATACTTCCCCTTTAAATAGGAGTACTTGAGTACATTGTGTCATGCACGTTATTGATCTACAGTGCGGATCGGCTATAGGGTTGTCGGCTATAGTAATATACCTCTTATAGTGATCGTATTCTCAAATTCATTTTCGTAAACCACCCCTTTCTATACATATCAGATCGGCTATAGTAATAATCGGCTATGGTAATATATCGGCTATAATGATACGATTTCTTTGTCAAAATGATCTTATTGCATACATTTTTCATCGGCTATAGTGATGATCATAAAAAATTATACATCGTACATGGCGAGATCTGATCGCGGCAGCCAGGAAGCGCTGGTACGACTATGAGTATGATATCCCTCGGAGGAAATTCGAAATGTTTGGCGTTGGCTGTGCTTGTTCCGGGGCATCCTCGAGCGAGATCGGAGGCAGTAATGAGTACCAGCGCTGAAGCGCTACCGTGGTCTCCGCCGAGATGTTGGAGAAGGCATTAAGGTAACAGCGAAGACGATCAGGGACGCGGAGAAGCTTCTCCGTGACATACGACATCACGCGTCGATCGACCTGCCACTTGGAACGGTTTCAGCAGTGATGAGTTGAGCGATGGCGACCCAGACTGAGACTCTACTCCCACTAATCGATCATGTAGATATTGTTGATATGTCGATTGAATGTGTTGAAGTGTTTCTCTTCCAAAAGAACACATTTGTTGACAGCAACTCCTTGAAAACTCATGTCAAAAAGTCGCGAAGTTTTTTGTTTCCGCAGGAACTACATGTAGCTCTGCACTGCGCGTACTGCACAGCACGCTTCTGCACGCTGCACTGATTCGAATGACACCATACACGCATTTGTCAGGCATACCTAAGTATGCATTATCGCCTATAGTAATATATCGCCTATAGTGATATTTTCACGAAAATCAAACACCAACGCTATAGCCGATCCGTACTGTACATGTATTTCCTTTCTGGTGGCTATGTTATTGTGGAACATTAGTCTTGACAATATCTCTTTGAGTTTACTTCAAGGTAGGTTTCAGAAAATTCTTCATATGGTCAGTTCCTCTCTCTCTCTCTTTGTACCTTTAGATACGGAAGTTGGCTGATAGTGGAGCATTGAAAGATAAAAGCATAGTCCCTAATTCTAGCGCAGGTGGTCCTTGAACTAATAAGTAGCCCGGGCTCTCATTAGAGAAAGTATGGTATGCAAAGTTTGGGTTATTGGCAGCCCGTGTGAATCTGTTGTCGTGTGCAATCTACAAATTTCTTCTCTTTATTTAGTTGCTCAGTTGTTGTGCTTTGCATCTCCTTTTCCCACGTTTCCCTCTGCCATTGCCGATATAGTGGACGCTACACAGTGAAAGTATACCCAGGGTTTCTCTTCCTGCATGGCAAGTCTTACGACTTCACCGTTCCCTTTCAGTCCATCGTGCGACTCTTCCTCTTGCCTCACAACGACATGCGACAAATGTACTTTGTGGTGAGTTTCTGCAGATGCCTGCCTGCCTGCTGTTTAAGTTTCTTGTCTTGTGCGAGGATCATGTATTCTAGTAATATAGGGTTGAGTAATTATCGGAGCAGCAAAGGAGGGAAAGGCTGTTGTGTCTTCGAGTTCACACTGTATCATGGGCGATCGGCCAACAGGAAAGTGACACTTGCTCCAGGTAGTACTGCAGCGTTTGCACTAAGGCATGACTGTGATTCGTATTTGTCTCGGTCGTTCTCTAATATCTCCTCCTCCCACTGTTGTGTGTGTGCATGCGTGTTTCTTGCCTAGGTGGCTATGGACCCTCCTATGAGGCAGGGCCAGACGCGCTACCCTTTTCTGATTCTCATCCTCAACAAGGAAGAGTCGATGGAAGCAGAGGTGGCACTGTCAGAGTGAGTCTGCCGGTGTGCCTGTTCTTATCATGCGTGCAACGTGGCATTGCTTTTGTTGTGTACCGTCAATTGCTGTTAGTACCGCCATACTTCTGTTTCACACAGAGGTCATGTTTAATGACAACATTGTAGATACGTTGTATTTAGTGGCAAACCAGTGCACGTTGTGCCACTCCATACAGAATACCGAAGAATTCCGCGGACAGGCCCATGGGCTTATCTGATTCAAAGGGGCATCAGATGAGTGTAGATGTGGGCATGAGCTTATACGCCAATCACGATGCACGGCAACAAGATGCACGGCAACAAGCACACAGAGCATACTATAGTAAACCCTGGTGTAAGCGTCCTCTGGGTTTAGCGCACTGTGGGACCTGGTTCTAAAGACCACCTGGCTTAAACGACCGCTTTTGCTTGCGCCGTGGGGTGGTCACTTCAACCAGGTTTTACTGTAGTACTAGTATTGGTTTACTCTACCCTGACTGCACTGCCACTGCAGCACGTAAGTCAGTGCACTTGTGCAGTGATACATTGGCAGTGCACTATTGTAGGCATGTGTATTCCGTGTGATAGTATCGTGGTGGAGGTGGTGGTGGTGGTGGTGGTAGTGGTGGCGGTGGTGATGGTGGTGGTGATGGTGGTGGTGGTGGTGGTGGTGGTGGTGGTGGTGGTGGTGGTGGTGGTGGTGGTGGTGGTGGTGGTGGTGGTGGTGATGGTGGTGGTGGTGGTGGTGGTGGTGGTGTGTGTGTGTGTGTGTGTGTGTGTGTGTGTGTGTGTGTGTGTGTGTGTGTGTGTGTGTGTGTGTGTGTGTGAATCCCTATTTTTCATTCTTGTCTTTTTCGACACACACACCACACCACATACTCCGGCATACACACATTTGCCTTGCAAGCTGTTGAATGGTGTAATCCCAGCACGAGTTGTTACCGTATTTCCGCGCATATAAAGCCATGGCGTCATAGGTGAAACATCGCTGTTTTGGACCAAATTGTTGGAGAAAATAGCATCGGTTTTAACGCCATGGCGCTAAAAGTGAGAGACGCTTACATGAAAAAAATCGGCAGAGTATGAACTTGGAGAACTCGTATGGTGCTGTTGCACGTTCATGTCGAGCATCCATATACTTTCAATTTTCCCTGAAAATTTCAAATTGTGAACCTATTGTGTACAAGGTGGCATACAAACTTGTGTGAAGGTGCGGTGGCGGTGTGGCATAATTATGACAGTGGGGATGGGTACATGTAGAGAGAATCACCGCTACTGTAGGTTCACTGAAAGAATTGAACTCACCTTAAACGCCGGATGCAACTTCCTCCACATTGAATTTTGTTCACTTATAACGCCATTATATTCGGATATAACGCCATGGCTTTATATGCGCGGAAATACGGTATGTCTAACATAGCTGTTCGTTATCATCGCTTCTGCGATGGGCATATGTGTGTGTGTGTGTGTGTGTGTGTGTGTGTGTGTGTGTGTGTGTGTGTGTGTGTGTTTTGTCTATGTCTGTGTACACATGGATGTCATGCACATGTCGGCATGGGGGCTTCTTCGCCCCACCTGTCCATGTGAGCCAGCCGGAGACGTTTTGACAGAGCTTGTTTTACGTCCTGGATACGGAGCAAGCAACAAGACTCAATATGACACTGTGTCTGTGTTTGTGTTTGTACATGCGTGTTTTCATGCGTTTTGTAGAGACTCGGGTATTGAGCCAATAATAAATGTAGAAAGGAACAGGATGTTGAAGCTAGGTGTCAGGGCATCGAATGTCTCAGTACTCTGTCAGTTTTGTCCCTAGTTGTTGCACTTTCTGACTGTATATAGATAGTATCTAGTTACAGTGGTGGAGAGTTACTCTTAAATCGTTTCTGTATGTCCTTTTTTCTTTCTACGTTTTGTAGAGAAGAGCTGGAGAAGCAGTACCAGGGTAAGCTGACTCAGCAGATGAATGGGCCTATTTACGAGGTGCTGAGCCGCGTCATGAAGGCGGTCGCTTCAAAGAAGATCGTCGTGCCTGGCAATTACCGAAGGTAATGATCTTGGCACGCGTTGTCCTGTCTTTTGCGTGTGTTCTTTCCCCCTGTTTGTCAGCCGGCTGTGGTGCAAATTGTACTCTAGAGTCTAGTACTACTTGTAGTATGTGTGATCCGCAGCATCTTAACATAGTCTAATATTGTCACAGGGTTCTACTTCTAGCCAGGTCAAAATAGTAGGGGGGGGGGGGGCATGGGAAGCAGTTACCCCGTATCCCATTTTTTCCACTTTCCTATATTGTCTTGCCACGCTAAATGCAACGTATGGGGCGAATCCCCGACTTCACCCGAGACAAATGTGCCTTTAAGAACCATCTAGGAGTGACTTTCGACTGCATTTTCTTTGAATTGAATGGAAACACGAAAATCGGAAAATGAGTCTGCGTCCCTTTCCCCCCCCCCCCCCCTTGGCTAGAACCCTGTAAGGAGTTGTACTGGTGCTTGAGATCTGCAGACGTACTGGACGCACCACATACTGTACAGGCAGAACATTTCGTCGGTCAATAATTTCGTCCATCTCCAAAGAAAGGGAATTCGTCCGGTTGTAAATTTCGTCCATGGATAATAAGAGTGTATTGAAAAGCTGGACAAATCGACAATAGTCCGGCATTTAATTTAGTCCAAAAGCTCCTTGGACGAAAAGAAGAAATTAAATTCCAGACGAATATTTCTGCTTATTCAGTACATCATGTTGGACGTTTCCGCCCGTTGAGTTGCAGACGACGTGTTGTCATTAAAATTGATGTGCTGTCTCGGAGAGTCCATGCTTGAATGGTCAGAATCAAACTGCTCTAATAGATAATATGTCGGTTTGCGTGTGGGCGTACGTTTGTTTGTTTGTGCATGCATGTGTGTGTGTGTGTGTGTGTGCGTTTGTTTGTTTGTGCATGCGCGTGTGTGTGTGTGTGTTTGTTTGGTTTGTGTGCTTG